TGACACACACCCTCACTTCACGCCTCATTCCCCAGCCTAACCATCTCGTAATTTTATATTGTGTTTGTAGTATTTTTCTGCCTGTTATCATTTTCAGGCTCAGATCGCACAGTTTAGTATATATTATTTGTCTCTGACCAAATGTTTACCTTCGAGTTTAATTTTATGTTCGGTTGTTCTCATCATATTAGTCATGTTTATTGTTTTCATGTTAATGAAATTATCTACTTTCCCTTTTATGTTATGTCTATTAGTAACAACTTCATTACTACTTGCGTATTGTTATATTATGTGTATACACGTATATTGCTGTTTTCTTTATAACATCACTGTTCCTTCTACTTGCCGTGCTAATCGGCCGCTCATTCAGACGTAGATTTAGATTACCCTGTGAATTATAACCCAAATCGCTTTTATGACGTCCTCTCGAAGTTCGATATCTTGTCCTCAGTAATGCTGAAAATTATGCTTCTTTAGCTTAAAGAATTGGTGAATATGTAACCTGTATCTAACTGATGATAATCTCTATTGGTGCAAATAACTGTAACGCTGGTAACACACTACAGACACCATACTTTATATGGGCTTGCATAATTATTATCACTGCAAGTTAACTTTAAGCCCGGCTCATGGCCGTAAACGAAGGAATCTTGCGCCCGCCGCACCGAGAATTACGCTCATACGATTGAAGCGGCCGAGACGTGCACTGTTAGATTATCACCGCAAGTTAATTCAAAGCCCTGCTCATGGCCGTAAACGAAGGAATCCTGAGCCCGCCGCAGACTCGCCCGAGACGCGCACCGTTAGAATTAAGTTCAGGTCCAGCTGCCTATGTGTTCGAAGCATATATACTTGCCTATTTACCTCAAAGATATGGAATTGTTGTCCAATTATTTTTTCTCTCTGCAATATAATGGTACTCCACTAACATCGCCAAATCCTGACAAACCCAAGTAATTAACACCTCCTTACTTGACACGTTACCCTTCTTGCGACAGATTGTTCTTACTATGCTCTCATTTTTCCTGCAACTTAGTAAGGTGATTGACAAATGTATTATTATACTCCTTAACCCTTTTACTGGCCTGGTACACTTATATTTCAGCCTCTGAAGACGATTGACCCTCCTCGCTACTGAATGTTGCACCTCAGTGCGAAACCTCCGCCACACCCGCTACCCTGGCATGTGATGACCCTAGCGACCATCGGATCTCCAGGAACCATCTGTAGATACCGAACAGAACCTGTATCCGTATGCGCGATGCAGTGTTTCACGCGTTGCAGACGGCTCGAGGACGAGTCTTGCGCGTGGCCGAGCGATGTCAACAATAGACAGAAAGACCGAATGGCACACTTCACACCTCCGTCCAAACAGCTTTTATTTCTCCTTGTGTGGATGCAGGTGCTGCAAGGCTTTCTTTTTTCGCTCGGGATAAACATCCACCTTCGAAGAGAGCCGCATAAAAGGGCACGTGCGTAAGATGGAGGGAAACATATGGCAGACAGCCCAAGCCACACAGGGTCCAGCTCCACCAGCTCGTCCTCCACTCGGGAACACGGGGGTCTCTTGGGGTCTCCCGTCTATCTTCAACAATAAACCAGCCAGCTAAGACCCCTTTCATTGACTCGCCCCAAGTCCATCTCACGTCATAATATGTGTGTGTGTGTATAAATCTATATGTATGTATATATATGTATGTATATGTATCTTCATCTGTGTGTGTATGTGTATGTGTGTGTATATGTGTGTGTGTGTGTTTGTGTGTGTGTGTGTGTGTGTGTGTGTGTGTGTGTGTGTGTGTGTGTGTGTATGTATGTATACATACATATATATATATATATATTATATATATATATATATACATATATGTATATATATATATATATATATATATATATATATACACACACACACACACACACACACACACACACACACACACACACACACACATCAATATATTTAATATCACACCCACACACATATATATATATTATTTTATATATATACATATAATTATACATATATATATATATATATATATATATATATATATATATATATATATATATATATATACATATATACCTATACATAGACCTACATACATATGTATGTATATATATACATACACAGACGCACACACACTCACACACACATATATATGTATGTGTGTGTGTATTTATATATACTAACCTGGAGTTTGATAAAACGATGAATTCCGAGGTTAGGATCCAGAAGGCAAGCCGGGGGAACATCCCGGGTTGGCGACTGTCGAAAGGCGCCTCTAAACCACGCCCATAGAAGGTACATGGTAACAAGGCCCCCATACAGAAGCGCAAGGAGGTTCTCCATCCATCGCGTAAAGATGGAACGAAAATCGGCCATCCTGACTTCGTAGGGTTACAGCATTGTTGTAAATATCCTATCTTCAGATGAATATAGAGTTATTTCAATGCAAAATCCCTGGAGTTAGAGTGGTAATCGTGTTTCTTTGAC